TCTGTCCTTCCTGCTCATCCTTGCAGAGGACACTGTATTGTCCCCACCCTGCTCATTTGTATTAAGCTACCCTCAGGACAAGAAGTAATTCTATTAATATTTATTGTTCACATATTTACTCATTAAGTTCCCAAATATTTACTGAGCTCCTACTACTTCCCAGCATTATTTACAGCCTCATCATCTCCAGCCATGCTGGGAGGGGTAGGGAAGTCAATGCATGGTGGCAGGCTGGGGCTTGTGGACAGAGGAGCCTCAGTATCCCAGGGGGAGGCTGTCAGGGGCTTCCCAGAGGAGGGGCTATTTTTGAGGAATACTGTGGAGGGAATGGAAGTCTGGTAAGCAAAAACTGTCTGTGATGTGGGGTGGAGTAAGGAGGTTGCACAGAAGTTTGTTCCAGGCTGAGAAAAGGGCAGGTGTGAAGGCAAGAGAGTGTAGAGCAAGATGCAGCCATGCTCAAGTGCAAACAGCTCAGCATGGCTGGCTGCAAGCTTCACAGGGGCTGAAAGGAGATGTGCTCAAAAGCAGGCAGGGGCGTGACAGCTAGGGAGACCCACTGAAGGGTGTCAGCGGAGTGAAAGCTGGTGTTGCAGAGAGTGCTGGGGGCTGCTGGACTGGGGACAGGTCGGGGAGGAAAGCAAGGCTACAGCAGAGATGGGGCAGAGGCTTCTGTTGGAACCCAGGCAAATGATGACATGGGTCTGGACCATGGCGTGCGGATGGTGACAGGGGGCAATGACTGGCTTGTACTGAGGAGGAGATGTCATGGGACTTAACGGGGGGGGGGGGTGGGGGGGGAGAGAGAGCGATGGACGCACATGTGTGAGACGTCTCCAGTGGAGCCTCAGTTGGGGATGTGGGTGGAGTGAGAAGCAGAGACAAAGTGTAAATCCTGAGAGCCTGTGGCACGCTCAGGAGGCACAGGACGCGTAGGTCCGGAGCCCAGAAAGTGGCAGGGCCAGCCTGGAGGCCAAAATCCAGGAGCCCTGGGCCTAATGAACAGATCGTGAGGGCCACAGACTGGTGGTCGCCCACTGAGGGTGGTACAGAGCTGAGCAGGTGGAGGATTGTAGGCTGGAAACAGCCTGTCAGGAGGAAACAGGGCAAGAGAGCTTGATAAAGACCATCACCGTCCTCTATCTGAGAGCTGGACTGAGAATCGCCTTCTACTTGGTACCTCCTCTGTGGTCTCTGCCTTCTCCCATCCACCTTATACATGGAAATGAAACCAAGTTTTCTGAAACAAGTGTCCTACCTTTATTACCACCGTCACAGAGAAAACCACTGTCACAGCCTCCAATGTCAAAACCAAAATCTGCTGTCAGGTTTAACAACTCCCCTCCATTATCAGTTGCCCTGTTATTTCCCTCCTTTAACTGCATACCTGCCACATTTCTCTCAATCAGGGCTCCTGGAGGTCTTTCCTGTCCACAATTGCATTGTCACCACTATGCTGACTCCAGCTGTGTCTGCCCCGAGTGAGGTGCTCCCGCAATCCCAATCCTGCCCTGCTTCCCATCCCTGGAACTGCTCGGACCGTACCAGTCCACATGGAAGGTGCATCTCCCAGGGCACTGCAGCGCATGTGACTCTGCTATTGATCGTGTGCTTCAAGCACACTGCCCACACTTACTGGAATTGATCACAAACTCATTAAGGGGAAGGACATGTCCTTTACTTCTTTTGGGTCACAGGGGGCCCCAGGCTTGGTCAGAGCTTCTCAAGCAATTGTACTGCAACCCTAGAACCAAGGGAGAGGCATGGGGAATGGGCATGCAGAGGGCAACAGGGAGCAGCTGAGGAGCTGCTGGAAGGAGATGGAAGAGGACAGATGCAGGCAAAGACCCACAAGGACCCCCCTGGAACAGACTGCCAGGTTATTTTGAATGCTCAAAATTAAAGACTGGGAATGAGTAATTTTTAATATATAGTAATTAGTAACTGAATAACTCTATGCTATATAATCTCTGGGTTCTATTAAAAAACATCTGAAAACCAACAGCTTTTAAACAAATAATGGATTTATTTTAAATGGAGAAACAATTTGAGGCTTCCTACAATAAAAGATTCATAGGTATTAAAACAAACAGAAAGATACACTTGAAACATTAAGAAGATGGAAGTAACAGTTTCTTTAGACCCACTGTGTGTGCACATGCTTGAGAACTAAACATGGCATGGTTCTATTCTGAGTGGAGGGAAGCCATAGGAAGAGCTACAAAGAGGCAGTAGCTTCCCGGTACCTGTCAAAAATGGATGCTCCAGAAGGGCAGGCTTTGGGTATTCATTCACTGAGGCTTGAGCTGACAATCTGGCAGATCCTGTGGTGTTATAAGTATCTGAAGTGGAGAAAGACACTGTGGCATCTGTAGCCAACCACAAGGGAGAAGCCACATGTAGGCCCCGAGGATCCTGGGCAGGGCACACATCTACAGCAGAGAATTACATTCCTGCAAAAAACTGCTACACTACCAAGTGCCTGTCCAAGGGCCAGAGAAGCAAGGTGTTTGCAGAGGGAGACCCATCAAATGAGTAGGCCAAGTGGACCCAGCACATATCCACTGCTGGATGCAAAGGTGCACCTAAAATCAGCAAGGTGGGGCCAAGGACACGGTGAGTTGCAGAGGCAGGTATGCCAGACCCACATCGTTGCCCTGAAACCTTTGCTCAGCTCACACCTATGCCACAGGTTGGTGGGTCCTTGATGACCAAGTGACAGAGAACAATGGCCCAATCTGGTAGACAGCTGGTAGAAAGGGATCATGGCTACACTATGGCTCCATTCACGGGGTCCCCAAAAGATAGCAAGGTGGGAAAATTCTCCAGTGGGCAGAGCTGGTGGTGCATACAGTCAGCCACTAAGTGTAGAAAGAGAAGGTGCCTGAAGTGATGATATGCGGAACATGGATTTACTGGAAGTGGCCAATGACTCTGTGGGCTGGTCAGTGGACTGGACAGTAGTGGAACAAGGAAACCCATGAAAGAGGCAAGTGGACAGGCCTAAAGGAACTCACAGGAAGGATGAAGGCTTTGTTTTACAGATTAACGCCTTCTGTGGACATCCCCCACAGAAAAGGCACCAAACAGCAGGCAAGCAGAGGGACCTGGCAACTCGTCACTGGCATCCCAGTGTTGGCACGTGAACAGGGTAGCCAGGGTGGCAGGACGCAGGCTATGCAGCAGCCCCATTCACCCACGCTGCACTGGTGACTGCATCCAACCTGCACCAACAGAGACCACACAACCCAATACACCCATGTCCCCAGAACAAACAGGGCCCTTTCCACTCTGAAAGGGGCAGTGTTCTGGACAGAACCCCAACCTCCCACATTCATATGCTGAAGCCCAACACCACGGCACGACTGTATTTAAAGACAGAGTCTTGAAGGAAGTAATTAAGGTTAGATGAGGTCATTACGTGAGTCCTTATCAAAGAGGACTGGTACACTAAGAGTATTGGGGCTCAGAACATGATATCCCAAAGCATGGCACCTTGATGTGCTGAGTACTTTGAACTGAAGGAATTGGAAGGTCTCTAGAAGTAAGATTAGTCTGACCTTCTGTCAGCCTGTCTCCTGTTCCTTCTCCCCTGAAACAAGTATTAGAAACTAGAATTTCTCTTCCCTAAAACAGGTTATAGAAACTGATACCCTCCCCTCAAAGCAAACCAAAAAACCTAGAAAGGTCATTTTCTCCTTTCTCCCTTGATGACCCTCATTCCAGAGGGGTCCGGGGAGAAAGGAACACTACAAGTACACAGACCAAGAACACATGAGCAGAAGGCCTTGCTGGGTTCCCCATCTAGTACCACTAGAGCACACTTTTTGCCCTTTCTGTTTTTTTTTTTTTTTTTTTTTAACTAGGGAGTGCTCTACCACTGAGCTCTGTCCTCATCCCATCTTTCCATTCTTCTTTCAGTTTCCTTGCAGGATCCACCTCCTCCTGCCAAATACAAAGCTTCGCCTACAGCCATGTTTACCTTGGTTGCGGTTCTTCCCTTAGAGCTCATCTAGTCTCTTGCTCAGCTTGCTTCTATATAGAGTTGACTCCTTCACCTGTACCTCTAGCTCCGAGAGAGATGTCTGTCCTCCATCCTTAAACATACCATGGGTACTTTTATGGTATGCTCCAGAGTCACTTCAAATTCAAATATGTCTTTAGGGGACAACTTCTACTTCTCTCGCTCTCCCATGCCTTCCTCCCACCCCAGATCCAAATGCTGGGACCTGTGCCCACAATAGCCTTTAAGGATTTCAGAGCTGACTTCTTCTCCAGGTTGCTGAGACACTTGCAGACCTACCGCCTGCACCCGGGCTGGCAGGAGACAGGGATCCAGCAGGAGAGAATCATGTCTCTTGCTGCTCTGGAGGGTGATGAAGGTGGAGGTAAGGTGTGAAGAACCCAGTGTGCTGGGTAAGAGATGTGTCAGAGCAAGAGCTCCTCTGAAGGACAGGTGCAGTATCAGACTGCCTAGATACAACAGTGTTTACTGACACATGTGTAATAGTTCCTGGTTATTGATAACAAGGTTAACAAAACATGGCACTTATTTGATTGGTTCATTGGTTATTCCCTAAAATTTTCTCATCTTCACATTCTCCTCATCTCAACCAAGGAAAATCATAAAGCTTTGCGTTTGTTCTTCATCCACAGCACACAAGTAGCATTTTTAACAGGAAGACACTGTGGCTTTTACAAGATTATAAACACAGATAAGTATCCTATTGTGTTAACTAGGTTGGTGTTTCTCCAAGAAACAGTGACTATCTAATATAAGTGGAAAAGAATGTCCAGTTTGACCAATCACTCAGCTCCATTTTTTTTTTTAACCTTAACAAAACAAAACAAAACAAAACCAAGAATAACCACTATCAGGACCAATGTTCTATTTGGAAACATGTCAAATCCACATCACAAAACATAGGAATAAAATGAAGTTGCTGTCACATACATGATCATAGGGGAGAGTTTGCTCTCCGAGTATTTATGCCATTAATTACCTGCTGCTGTCTCTGCCGCCTCACTTGTGCAAACTGGGAGAGCATCAGCTGCCGATCAAGCTGCTCCATTCGTTGCTGCCTCTGGATGTCCACTGTGGCTCCCATCCCAACTCTGGCCTCACTGGTGGGTTCTGAAGATGAGAAGATGGGTTCAAGTGTCCAAGAGAAGAACTGTGCCACCCAGCTGGGGATGCAGAGCACCTGGTGAACTTGCAACATTTTGTGGTCATAGCACAGACCCGAGATCTAAAAGAAAGAAGTCCAACTGGATTATTTAAATGTAATCACATTTTAAAGAATATATTTAAGATAGAAATTATAACTGTAAAACATTTCAGATGGCATTTTTCTCAGTTTTAGCAGTGTTAGGTGATGAGCAAAACCCCTACTATATTGCAGAATACTAAGTAATACAAACTAACAAAAATTTAATTTACTTGGTAAAACAAAGTTGTTTTTATTAAATTAGGAGATAGTAAAACCCTAGCCATTTAATATTCAAAGTATTCAAAGTACAAACCAATTTTTTAAAAAAGTCTTCATTTTTTAAAAAGCCATAAATTTGATTATCAAAACAATTTCATACTCTACTAACTATAGTTACCCATATTGGCACATGGCCATCAGAGAAAAATATAGCAGTAGAAGACAACTCTGGAGATCCATCAGCTGACCCAGTCATTCATCAGAAAATAAGGACAATCTAAAACTTTGGCTTTTATTTATATAGTGTTTTAACCAATTTTTCAAGAACTGATTTTTCTAGATGCTTGATTCCTCATCAATATTACTTAGCAATATATGATGGTTCTTTTTACAACAAACCTATTTTAAATTTTGAAGGTCATTTATATGGAATGAAAAGTCTCAAGACTGTGGTTTTCTAGGTAAAAACAACTATGGTTATTCCTTTGTTTAAAAAACATCTTTAATCTTATGATTTTTTTAATTGATTGTTCAAAACATTACAATGCTCTTGACATATCATATTTCATACATTTGATTCAAGTGGGTTATGAACTCCCATTTTTGCTACGTGTACAGATTGCAGTATCACATTGGTTACACATCCACATTTATACATACTGCCATACCAGTGTCTGTTGTATTTTGCTGCCTTTTCCTATCCCCTTCCTATACCCCCTCCCCTCCCCTCTCCTCCCATCTTCTCCCTCTACCCCATCTACTGTAATTCATTTCTTTCTCTTGTTTTTTTCCCCCTTTCCCCTCACATCCTCTTATATGTAATTTTCATACCAAATAAAAGCACACAGTAACTGCCTTCACTATAGTGCACTTTAATGTCTTATTAATGTCATTTAAGCTAAGCAGGCAAGGGCTCGCTGAGCTCCTATACTGGGAATGGTGCTGAGGTTAGACAGACACAGTCCTGTTCTTATAGAACAATAGTGATTAGTATGGAGAAAAGACAGTAAGCAAGTCTCACCTGAGTTCTATGAAGGACACAGTGACTTGGAGCAGGGATGTACTTTAGTTTGGGTGGTGATGGAAGCCCTTAAAGGAATGATAGCTGAGCAGATGATGGGGTATTAGTTACTTGAAGAGTGGAGAGAAGACTACTTCAAGGTAGACAAACAGCAAACACTATGCAGGATTGAACCTGGGAGCATTTTAGTGAGGCTATGAAGTGGGCAGCTGGATATACAGATTGGAACTTAAGAAACAAGGCAGAGATAGGAATTTGGAAGTCTTTGGATATCGCATATTAAACCAATGAGACCACATGACATAGTATGGGGAGGGAGTTTTTAATAGAAGGACAGTGCTAAGGAATGAATTTAGGAGTACACTCACATTCTGTAGATGGATGGATAGATGAAATAGAAGATGCTAGTACACAAATCTGTGAAGAGGCTGCCAGGGAAAGAGGAGAAACTAGAAGAGTTTTATACCAGTGAGGCCAGAAAGCATGTGTCAAGAGGGGAATAGCTGGCTGCATTTAATGCAGCTGACAGTTAAGTAAGACAGAGAGAAATGGTTGTGCCCACAGAGGCCTCTGATGACCTCATGGGAACACATTGGAGCAGTGGCAGGAGCAAAAGTGGATAGTGGACTGAAGAGTGAATGGTGGGGGGCTTTTGGTTTCAATAATTTCCAAGCTCCTTCTCTCAAAAATAGTACAAAACAAAGAAAATGAAAACAGAAACAAACTCTGTATCTGTTATCCTGAACCACACTCAACAAAACGGAAAGCACACTGCACACATACAAATCACTGGGCACGAAAGGGGTACCCTGAACGCGGGCTCAAGGCTGAGCCTGTGAAAAGCACCCACTTCCTCCCACAGCCAGCAAGCCTCATTTCTGCCCTCCCTCTGTGGGACAGGAACCCAAGAGGGTCTGAGCAGGCAAGGCAGGCAGAGAGCACATCAGTGTGCGCCCACAGACGAGAGAGGAATCCAGGTAGAGTGGGACTACATTTAAAGAGATGATAGCTGAGAGTTTTCCAGAATTGATAAGGAATATACATCCTCAGATTTAAAATATAAGAGTCCCAGACGTATAACAAAATGAATTTGACTTCTAGTAAGATATAAAGAAATCCTTAAAAGCAACCAGAGGTGAAACACATACTGCCTAGGAGGGAAAAAAAGCTAAGAGATGCTAGGAATAAATAAATAAAAATTACATGAGGCCTTGATAGAGCGAACTTAAAAAGTATGTAATAAGGGATAATTTGAGAAACATAAGTAAAGATACCACCATCCATGAATGGGAAGATGCAGAATTAAGATTCCAATTTTCATGTGAATGTACTGTGTATACAACCAGAGATATGAAAAATTGTACTCTATTTGTGTAATAAGAACTGTAATGCATTCTGCTGTCATATATAAATAAAAAAATATATAAAAGATTCCAATTTTCACCAAGAATATATGACTAGAATATATTTCAAAATAAAATCTTAACAGGGTGTTGTGTTGAAATGTAAATGCCAATCCTTAAATTTATATAGAATATTTAAGCTTAAACTGTAAAAATATCATGTTGGGTGAAAGAAGCCAGAAATAAAAGACTGCATGCACTTCAATTCCACTTCTGTAAGCTGACCAATCTCCACTATACACCTAGTGATAAAACAGTGATGTGGAGCCACAGGTAATCACAGGAGGAGTATGCAAGAGAGAAGGGCCACCTGTCCCTGCTCTGCATATCAGCATGACCTTGAGTTGTCAAACAAAGCACTATTTTAAAACGTTTTGGATATTCACAAAGGATTAAAATGCGTAGAGCTTAAAAGTTTAGTTTCCTGTAAACATTTAATAATCACACCACCCCTTTCCAATACATGATGGGGTAAGAATAACTGCATCAAAGTTTGTTCTAGTCTCTATGAAAAGCTTTTAGAGTATCACATTATCATTGCCACCTTATATTTACACATTACTTTTAAAACTAATTTTCATTATCTCACAAATCCTTCTTGTATTGAGACTGATGAATGAAATTGTTTCCCTGAAAGCCACACAGCTTGTCAAAAAATAGGCTTTAAAAACAGACCATGGGCTGGAGGCAAAGCTCTGTGGTAAACTGCTTGCCTAGCACAGACAAGGCCTTAGATTCGGTACTACCCGCCCCCAAATACAACTAAAAACCAAAACAAACAAGCAAAAAACCAACCAATGAAAAAACCAAAACAACCAAACCCAAATGCTGGAATTTGTACATCATAAGGCCAGGGGAAACTACCCAGGGACATGAGAAGCCCTCCAAAGGTCAAATGAAGGGTTGCCTATTTATCAGGGAAGGAGGAACAGATGAACAGATGGGGCAAAAGGGATGACTACCTGGAAAGGCCAACTAGAGCTGGACTCTGAGCACTCAGGTGCAAGAATCCGAACTCTGGTTAGGAAATGGGCACAGAGATCAGGAAACCAGAGAACACTCTGGCCCCTATCCCACTGAAAGTGTTAGCCAAAGACTGAGACTAGGCTCAGGGCTGAAGGGAGGAGTACCCCATGTGCTATTCCCTCCTAAGTCCAAGCACCAATGCAAAACACAGGAAATCATTTTCCTTTAAGCCACTACAGGTAACAAGATTATTGAGCCTTTAGAAAGGGAACAATGAAATGATGCTCATGGGCAAATTAAGATTTGAATTTGCTGGATGAAAACATGAATGCTCTTGTTTACAGAATCTCAACCTCAAGTGTCCTCTGGTCCTGTTTAATGTAAGCCTGAAACAACCGCAGGCAAAGGTGAGAAGCCGTGACCTGGCAGTGACACTACCAGGTGCTGCTCTTTCTCCAGCCAGATGTGTCTGAACAAAATCTACTAGGCAAGCTGCACAGCTGGAGTCCTGTGGACCACAGTTCCCACATTCAAGAAACCTTCCATCTAATGGTACAAACACCCAAAGCCAAGGGGCTCCTTTCCTTGGGAAATGACATTGCTTCTGCATATGACAGCAACAAATGTCCCCTTTTGCCTGGGCCTCAGCAAGCAGACTTCGTGTCCTTCTTCTGTACTGACAACACTAAAAGAAAGAGGGAACTCTGGAAAGTCCTTAATTTATCACCCAAAGAATGTGTATGCAAATTAGGGATGCCCTAAGTTATTTCTGCCATTTGTGATTAATTTTGAAAAGATCGTTCTTTTCATGACACAAAGAACCATGTGGCTTTAGCAGTTATTTTGAGTCTTGTTGTCTTTTTCTTCAAGTGCAAAAGTGATTCTGACTGAACTCTGTATAGCTGCCCTAGCTCTTTGATGTTAAGGAAGATTTTGAGGCATCCAATTAAAACACTGGAGATCCTTCTGATTGTTGAGATTCTGAATTGGCATGCAGACAGAATTAGCCTGGTTATAGGTTATTCATTTCTAATAAACTGTCTTATCTGCTCTAACTTTCCTTTTTTGGCAAATCATGCCTCAGGAGGACTAGGTTAGCTGCACAAAGCAGAAAAATCTCAAACAACAGTGCCTTAAATACAATAGAATTTTATTTCTCCCTCATGTTAAAAAAAACTTCAACCATTTTAATTGCACTTCAGGGAGTGGGAAGAAACTAAGGAACCAAAAAAAAAAAAAAAAAAAGTATGAAGGCTACTTTAGAGAAGCCTTTCCAGAAACTCTACTAGCTTACTGGTTAAAATGCCAGAACTTGGTCCAGTGGATATATACCTAGTTAAAAGTTAAGGGGAAACGGGCTTATGTCGAAACTTGTTTCTTACATTGGACTAAAAATAAACCAAATGTGAATGTGAAGAACTAGAAAGATC